CAATCTGTTCTCTCTAACAGCTAAATTATCTCTTTGAATGATTCAAATGTGAAGAGTTTAACTCTTGTTCAGGGGATGCTTCTGTTTCATTTTAGTGCTATTTATTCTCTCAGTGAGTTCAGTTGCTCTACAAACCTTTCTACACCCACTGACACAAGGGAAACCACAAAAGTTTGTCAGAGGTGCTGAGTTTTACATCCAATCAGTTCAGATTTCCTGAGGTTCTAAACAGCTTAATTCAAACAGCTCAGCCACACTAAGTGTCTTCAAAACCAGCAAGAGTGAAGTTGTGTGTTCACCTTTGCTCTTTGGGGGGTTTCTAGGTGACATGATGACACTGTTGATGAAGAAAGACACTCTGACAGAGGAGGAGACACAGTTCTATATTGCTGAGACTGTGCTTGCCATTGATTCTATCCATCAGCTGGGATTTATCCATCGGGACATCAAACCAGACAACCTCCTGCTGGACAGCAAGGTAGGGATGGAGGAGAAATAGGCCTTGGGATTTTCGATACTGACCTGAACTAGTGTTGACAGTTGTGGAAGAAGATGGTGCTTGTTTTTTTTTAGCCCTGTTCCTTCAGCTTCTGAGGCCAAATCTGCCCCTTTGCTGGGGAAAAAGCCAAGCCAGATCTCTCTTCTTCCTCCCCAGCTGCACTTGTACCTCGAGCTCCTCTCTGACAGCTGTTTGAGCTATTTTGGGCTGTTTCAGCTGCAATTGAAACATGCATTTTCACTTCTCCCCTCTCAGTCAGAGATGCTTCCTTTTGCTCTCACATCTGTTACTCTCCCACTGCCAGCTCTGGGCTGGGGGATCGTGTCAGACCTGAAGGATGTGGCTGTGGCATTAGCCAGGCTGAGGATGGAGGGATCTCCCTCAGGATCAGGATGGATTCCTGGGGGCTGCCCAGGATACCTGGCTGCTGCTGAATGGTTCTTGCAGAAAAAAGCCTGATTGTTTCAGAATCCTAACCTAGCTGAGTTGGAAGGGACCTTGGAGATCTCATTCCACCCCCCTGCCATAGTCAGGGACACTTCCCAGCAGCCCAGGCTGCTCCAAGCCCTGTCCAACCTGGCCTGGAACACTCCCAGGGATGAGGCAGCCACAGCTTTTCTGGGCAGTGTGTCCAATTCTGTATGTTTACATCTAGAAGGAGATAAATGTAGGACTTTGGAAAAGATGTGTATTTTAGATACACTTGTAAAACTTGTACCTAGTGAGTGTGGAATGACTGGACAGATGCAGTCACTGAATTTAAGGTGCACAGCCCAGGCACTGCAGCTGCCTCTGGAGGTGTTTCCTTTCACTCTCAGCTGTGGTCAGGAGTTCACAGAACAGAGATTTCCTGAAGTAAATGGCTGTTGGGCTTTCTCTGAGGAGAAGTGATGAAAGTATTGATAGCTTTGTTCTATGTACACAGCAGTGTTAGGGTCAAATAAGGAATGCAAAGGACATTGAGGGGCTGGAGCATGTCCAGGGAAGGGAATGGGGAAGGGGCTGGAGCACAAGGAGTTGCTGAGGGAGCTGTGGGGGCTCAGCCTGAAGAAAAGGAGGCTCAGGGAAGACTTTCTGCTCTCTCCACCTCCCTGCCAGGAGGTGCAGCCAGGTGGGGTCAGGCTCTGCTAACAAGGGACAGGATGAGATGAAATGGCCTCAACTTGTGCCTGGGGAGGTTTGGATTAACTACTAGGAAAGATTTTTTTCCTCTAAAGATTGGTCAGGCACTGGCATAAGTTGCTCAGGGAGGTGGTGGAGTCACCATCTCTGGAGTGTTCAAGAGGCATCTGGATGTGGCACTTGGGGGCATGGTTTAGGGGTGATTATGGTGGTGGTTGTTTCTCTTTCAGCTTTGCTGATTCTGTGATTTGCTCTGATCTCTTGTTTGTGTTTTGGTTTGTTTATTCCTAGGGCCATGTGAAACTCTCCGACTTTGGTCTGTGTACTGGGCTGAAGAAAGCTCACAGAACAGAATTTTACAGGAACTTGAACCACAGCCTTCCCAGTGACTTTAGTAAGTTATTTGGCTCCCCAAGGTTTCTGTGCACTTGCTCTTGGTGCCTGACACAACTCACTTCAGTGTGAGGGCAGAAGGCTTCAGTGGGAGGTCTGATAATCAATATCACACCTTGAGGTGTGAGCTTGATTGTCTGTAAAATGAAAATAACTCCTGCTAGTTTAGTGTACAAACCATTTTCACTTCCAGAGATGTCTCTGAAACAGACTCTGCTGAAACCTTTTGCCTGTTTAATAAACTTGCACTGAAAGCTCAGTGAGGTGGGAGATCCTGACTGGATCTAAAGGGCTATTGACACCAATAAGTGAGCACAGTCTCTTGGAATATCCAGGAATTTTCTCAAGGGGAATCACTTGGGTCATGAGTTAAACATAACCCAAAAGTATGGATCAATAATCATAGAATCATAGAATCAGCCAGGTTGGAAAAGACCTCCAAGATCATCAAGTCCAACCTTACTGAACCTGGGCCAGTGAGGAGCATGTGGGGACTGTGAGCTCCCACCAGGACAGCCCTGACTGCCTCTTAGTGATGTCTTAAATGAGATTTTTACTGTTTGGGGGTAAAAATGTACATAGGGATTCAAACACAGATATCTCAATGTCTTTAGCTTTCCAGAACATGAATTCCAAGAGGAAAGCAGAGACTTGGAAGAGGAATAGGAGACAGTTGGTAAGTAGGTTTCACCTGGCTGGGGATGTTCTGTGCTGAGGTGTTGCATCCAAAGGCACACGGAGTTCCATGGGAGGTGTTAATGCATTGCAGAGTTGTGAGCAATCCTGAAGTGAAAAGATGGATGTGGTTTTTTTGTTTATAAAGAGAGGAATGACTCTAGTTTGTCCTTCATCCATCTGCTGCACAGCTGGTGACATATGTGCCTGAGACAGCACTGCCATAATGATTTCCATGGATAGCTGATGCCTCCCAGCCAAAACTACCAGTTCTGGCCACTTCCAGTCCACTACTGACCAGTTCCAAGGTGGATATGGACAGTGGTACCTTTCCTCAGTTCCCTGCTGGTATTTTAAGGCTCCTTCATACGAACATGTTGATTTTGTCTCTGCATCTCTTGAAATAAAGGCTTTAAACAGCTTTGCTGAAGGATCTTAGGGACAATCTGGTGTCTTCCCCAAAATAACCGATGTTGGGTTATTTTCCCATTCCCATGTCAGGCAGTTTTCCCTGAAGATGTTTAACTAAGGATGTTTGTTGCAGGCTTTTTCTACTGTGGGAACTCCAGATTACATTGCCCCTGAAGTTTTCATGCAGACTGGCTACAACAAGCTGTGTGACTGGTGGTCCCTGGGGGTCATCATGTACGAGATGTTGATTGGTAAGGAACAGGCAGTGCAGGGATTGGGTGTGGGACACAGGATCTTGGAATCCCAGACTGGTTTGGGTTGGAGGGACCTTAAGGATCATCGCATCCCACCCCCTGCCATGGACACCTCCCACCAGCCCAGATTGCTCCAAGCTCCATCCAACCTGCCCCCCAGGGATGGAGCAGCCACAGCTCCTCTGGGAAATCCATCTCAGTGCCTCAGCACCCTCACAGGGAGGAATTCCTTCCCAATATCCCATCTGTCCCTGTTCTCTGGCAGTGGGAAGCCATTCCCTGTGTCCTGTCCCTCCATCCCTTGTCCCAAGTCCCTCTGCAGCTCTCCTGGAGCCCCTTGAGGCACTGGAAGGGGCTCTGAGGTCTCCCTGGAGCTTCTCTTCCCCAGACTGAACACCCCCAGCTCTCTCAGCCTGGCTCCAGGGCAGAGGGTCTCCAGGATCCTGGAATGGTTTGGGATGGAATGGACCTTCAAGACCACCCTATCCCACCCCCTGCCATGGGCAGATACACCTCCCACCAGCCCAGGTTGCTCCAAGCCCCATCCAACCTGGCCTGGAACACTCCCAGGGATGGTTGGGGTCAGGTTCTCAGAGCATTCCCTGTGTACTTGCTCTGTGAGGTATGTTCACTAGCACATCTTAGGCTTCAGGAGCTATTTTTGCCTTATCCAAGACTCTATTTTCTTTCTCTCAAGGCTGTATTTTAATTTCCCTTCAGGTTATCCACCATTCTGTTCTGAGACTCCTCAAGAGACCTACAAGAAAGTGATGAACTGGAAAGAGACTCTGACATTTCCTCCAGAAGTTCCAATCTCTGATAAAGCAAAGGATCTGATTTTAAGGTGCCCAACCATATGGTTTGCCAGTTAATGCAGCACCCATTTTCTTGTCTAGTGAGCTGTAGTCTGTGGCTTGTTTCACAGGACAAACCCTGATGCTACACTGCTACACACATGCATCAAGTGCTGAACTCCCTTGTCAAGTACTTTTGTCTCTCATTTAGTGTTTCCCTGACTAAACTGTGCTAAAAAGGAGCTCCCATGGAAGTGCTACTCTGGCAAAATGTTTCTGCTCCTTATTTTGCCTGCAAGTTTCACATGGAAGCAGCTTCCATCCTTGAGCCAGAGTTTTCTGACAGCAGCAATGGTTTCCCATTGTATGTGCTGGAGCATCCAAACATACCCCAGTGCATCCTGGCTCATGTGTATTCCTAATCCTTCTCTATTGTCAGGACAGAAATATAAATGTCTAGCTTGTTAGGCTTTATATGTTCTCCTGCTACTCCTCTGGTCCTGAAATAGAAAGGCCACATGATGCTGTTGTGTGGGAATACCACGTTAACTGTGGCATTGGACATTCCTGGCCATAACTCTGTGTGTTGGTTTTGCTGTGGGAATTGTTGTTCTGCTCCACTTGTGTGTTAAGAAACTGTAGCAGTGTCAGTTGAGAAAGCTGTTCCATTTCTGCCTGGAATGCTTTCCTTTTCATTCTCCCTTCATTTTCATTCTTCCTTCCATCCCAGATTTTGCTGTGAATGGGAGCACAGAATTGGTGCATCTGGTGTGGAGGAAATAAAGAGTAACCCATTCTTTGAAGGGGTTGATTGGGAGCACATCAGGTAAGATGCTTTGTAGAAAGGGAAGCTGCTCTGCCCTAGGCACTGTGCAAGCCACTCCTGTCCTGTTCAGGGAGCAGCTGATTGGCACCTGTCATACCCAGCTGTGGGAGAGAGTGTTCTGTTCCTCACCTGAAGCTTGCTCAGGTTTAGGTACCTTCAGTCTTGATTCTCTTAAGAAATGGGAAGTGGCTGAGTCTTTTGCCTTTGAAATCTTAATGCTCCTTCTGCTCTCCTTGGCAGAGAGAGACCTGCTGCCATTTCAATAGAAATTAAAAGCATTGATGATACCTCAAACTTTGATGAATTTCCAGAGTCTGATATCCTTAAACCAACAGGTAAGTGATCCTTTGATTCTGCAGGTAAACAATCCTTCCTTTTCTCCAGCAGGATTACTTTTCCTGTTAGTCAGACATAGGATCTTCTGAGAGGTTAGGGGTGATTTTAATCGTGGTCTCTTCTCCCATGCAACCAGCAGCAGGACAAGAGGGCACAGACTCAAGCTCTGCCAGGGGAGGGTTAGGTTGGATGTTAGGAAGAGATTTTTTAGGGAGAGAGTGCTCAGGCATTGGAATGTGCTGCCCAGGGAGGTGGTGGATTCACCATCCCTGGAGGTTTTCAAGCTGAGACTGGATGGGGCACTTAGTGCCATGGTCTAGTGACCATGGTAGGGTTGGACTCGATGATCTTGGAGGTCTCTTCCAACCAGGTTGATTCTATGATTCTATGGTCTTGCTGGTGCAGGGAGTGCAGGCTGGAATGTGGGTGCCAGATGGGATTCAGGGCTGTAAATGGTGTGGGAGCTCTCAGAAAGGGCATCTTGGAGGCAGCAGAGCCATGAGCCCAATGCTGTGAGTACCTCCTGGTGCTGG